GATAGGACGCTCTCCCTCAACTTTCCTCAGAATGCTGCGATTTTTTAGGCATACTCTTCCCTGGCAGACAAGATTTTTTATCAGAGATCCAACTACTGTACTAAGGCCAGCAGCTATTGGGTAAGTAAATGAACTGTAAACATTTTTCTGAATTTATGATCCAATTATTTAAAGTCCCAATTGGTCCTTCCGTGTCCTGACCCCGGATAATTAGTTATCTCCCTAACTATTGCTTCCGCATTCTCTAGAGAATAATTATTGCTTCTTAATTCGCATTTGCAGGGAATGATTAAACACTACGAAAATAATTACTGTCGGAACTTAGCCGGTTCAGGCAAAAATCGTCAATGACCCTCGGTAGGCTTCCGAATTCAAGTAATTCCCAAACTAGCTGTAAGATCCGACGCATAGCGATCAAGACGATAGTTCCTAGCCACTAGGGCGGAGATCACAGCGCCCAGCAAATACGATTGTGTTAACTATAACATACTGCGCACTACTGAGGCAAATAGGGATTAAAAATGCACACTCGTAATGATGAAATGTACAAGCGCTATAGAGCTCACCCATACAGCATCAATCGAAAGGGTGGAACGCTCGATAAGCTCTAGCTTTCGTAAGTCAGGTCGAAAAGTGAAGGCGACTGTACGTCAGGAGCGCATACGCTTAGGCATATCGGGGTTTGCGACAAGCGTGCATGAGGATAAGGAGGAAACACGGGTCTCACATCGACTGTGGGAGGGGTGTTTGCAGCGGTGTCTATTCAGGAACACGTCGGTAAATTGTTGAGGCGATTACAGTTCCATAAAGGCAGGCTTTAGGCGATCAGTACTAACGCGATCTTTACAACCATGTTTGTTCAACAAGAACTACTTCTCCTTACTAACCAGGACTTTGACGGGACTTTTGTATGATATTTTCAACGGCTTTCGGACGGTGTCGACGCTTACGAAGACTAAAAGACAGGCGTAAATCGGGGTGGATGCATTGACTTCGAGTTGGGTCAAGTTAGCGTCGGATGAACGGCAGTAAAGCCTTGTTTCAAGTGTACAACATATGAAGCAGAGTCTACTTCGCCGGTGGCTCTTGAATCCAATCTGTGTTGTGCCAGAGACTAGTTAAGCTACACAGCAACCGGTATCTTTTACGGTGTTACGAATACCGAGTAAGACGACCGGTAAGCGCTCGGACCATTGGGTGCCCATTGCATAGCAGTAAGTGCATCCTCGAGCTGTCGGTGGAAACGCTCGACTATCCCGTTTGCAGCGGGCTGGTAAAGCGTTGTGCGTAGAAGCGAACAACTGAATATGCAGTTGAGGTCAGGGAACAAAAAAAGCTGAACTGTGGCCTTCTATTCGTGGTAACAGTAGCAGAGGTGTCGAACATGCATATCCACGTTTCGATGAACGATCTGGAGACTGTTTCGGCTGAAATCTCCCGTAGTGGCACTGCTTGAGGTCAACGCGTGATTCGATTAACACGTCAGCAAATATGTAAAACCGTTGGATGGAGGAAGAGGTCCAGCGATGTCGATTTGGACACGTTTGAAGTGGGCATCAAGCAACAAAAATGTGTCGTGGACGGTAGTGGCGTGGTGTGGGATCTTGTTATTCTGTCTGGTGATGCTGTGTTTCGCCCACCTTCGATATCCAAGCGCGTTTTGCCAGATGTAACGATCCGTTATCAGCTTGGTAGTGGCGCGTATGCTCGGGTGTGAAATGCCATGCAAGTGATCCGATATACTTCGTCGATATTGCTGCGGGACGAATGGTCGGCGTTTGCCAGTAGACAGATCACAATAACTTCTGGAATCCGAGTTATGAAGAAGTAGAAGAGATAGTTTTAGCTACTGGAACTCGGGATCTCTTTGTTGATGAGCGGCGATGTCTCCAAGGTTACTTGGCTGGCATGCAACTTGGTGCAGGCCAACACGGGACATTGCTTCGGGAACGGCGTTACTGGCTGCATCGACTTGTCGAATATCCGTAGTAAGCTTCGTTATGTAATCGAGGTGACGAGTTTCACGAATGGAGAATTAGTCAGGTGATCCGCGAAAAACAAAAGTGATTGGTCTATGATTGACAAGAAAGATATATGGACGGTCTTCGAGCTGATGTCGGAAACGCTTAACGGAGGGTAAATGGTCGAGTTCGCGGCCGAAAGTACTATATCTTTTGGGCATGTAGCTTACGTGCAAAGAAAGGTAAAGGCTCGGGCTGACTTAATAAATGCTATTGTACAGTCCCGAAAACAGTCTGCAACGTGTCGGTCTTAATAACCAGGGAAGTTCCCACAGCTCGGTGGCCTTGGATAGCACTTTCCTGGTCTTATTGAAGGCTGTCGATGCTGCACTCATTGGTTCAGATGTACGATATTTGCCTTTAAGCAAGTCTGTCAATGGCTGAAGAAGTTTGGAACACTGGAATAAAACGACTATAATAGTTTGCCATTCCAAGGATGCCGCGTAAGCTTTTAAATGATTGCAGTATAGGATAGTCAGCATTAGTTTGCGTTTTTCCGCGTAGCGAACCGATGCCGTCGCGATTTATTCGGTGACCAAGGAAATCGAAAGGCGACTGGCCAAACACACATTTATCAACGTTGATTTGGACACTGCTTGCTAGAACACTCGAACATCAAGCGAAGGTGAGACAGGTGTTCTTCACGATTCAAGCTAGCTACAAAGATGTCGTTGATGTATACGTAAACGAATTCATGCTCTCTAAGGACTTGGTCGATGGACTACTATAGGGTCTGTGCAGCGTTTCGCAATCCAAAAGGAATGCGGAAGAATTCCTGAAGACCAAACTGGGTGGTTATGGCGGTTTTGGGGATATCTTCGGGGGCAGCAGAAATCTGATAGTACGTCCGGATAAGACCAGTCTTAGAGAGAATGGATTCGCTGTGTAAACCGGCTGGAAAATTGTGTATTTGCTGGATGAAATATTTGTCTAGGATAGTAGCACTGTTCATTGGGCGGTAGTCCACATGGTCGCCAGTCCCTGCTTGGCTTTTAGGGACTGTGCACCGGGGACCATGGATTATTGAACAGTCGGGTAACGCCGAGACTCTGTATATGCTGTAATTTAGCCTTAGCTTTCGCGAGTTTGTCTAGCGGCAACTGGAGGTTCGGTAGCAACGATATGTTGAGCCATCTAATGCTTTAGGTCTGAAAATTCGTCGGTCGACTGACGAAGTAGGAATTTGATTAAGCAATTCGCTGAATACGCTATTGGTGGGAAGCGACATTCAGAGGCCGGGTAAAATGATCGAGGCAGCTTGACTCGGAACAGTAATAGATGTGACTGTGTCACGGAGTTACCTACGGCCTAGGTCTAAAACCAGGCAGTACTTCGTAGGAAGTCGACACCAATGATAAGACGTTGGATATACACGATGAGAAAAACGAATGGAACCGATCGACTGTGATGTTCTTGGTGTCACAATGTCAACACACGAAAGGTGAGAAGACGAACAAGCACGGGGTGAGAAAGTCCGGAGATTGAACGTAGTACAGTGGAAATGAAAGAGCGTCACACTCCAGAATAGGATCAATGACGAGCTGAAATGGAGGAAAATGTAGTTATAGTTAATAAACAAAAGCGTCAACCAAGGGAATGTATTCGTTTGGAGGCAACCCTTCTAACACCCCTTGGCATTGGATGTTCGTATGATTGCTGTCTTGGATCCAGTTGCATAGGCACAAGCTTCCATCTGATTCGATCTGTCCATCTTCTCGGTGTATACTCGACTCTATGCACTGGTTGAGTGATTTGTTCCTGGGTTTCGGACCTCCGCGGGAGTTCAAAGTATCCAGGAGAATGTCGATGGCAAGATTCAGATCGTGAGGGGTTTATCAGGGGACGAACGCAACTGCTGGACATGGCGGACCCATATTGAGGAGTGTACATCCATTTCATAGTTTACCTGGCCTGTGTAGCGTACATTCAGACCTTTCGTCCACTTTTCATCGCAACCATGATAGTCCTTAGCCAACACTGATTGACCAATGCGACACGTGCGATTCACAGCACGTTGGTGACGCTTGAAATAGTTCTCCATGCGGAGGTTTCCACCATTCTGCGGACATGAGGCTGTACGAATGACATCGAGGTGTAAGCTTAGCTTCCGGTTCATTAGAGCTTCTTCCGGTAAGTTTCCCTTTGGTGCATTAACATTTGGCGTTTATCTGGAACAGTAAGAAAGTTTCGATGATATCCGGAGTACTTCCCTCCGTTTGAGCTTCAACAACCATCGCTTGAAAGTGTCAGCGAAACGTTTCACTTGGCCGTTGGACTGTGGGTGGAATAGCGGCGATCGGATATGCTGGCTACTGTTTTGTTTACAAAAGCGGAATTCTGCGGAAGTGAACGCTGTACCGTTGTCTAAGACCTGTAGAAATCCAAAACGGCTAAACACATGCTGTAGCCTTAAGATGGTCGCACGAGTTGCACTATGACCCATTTACTGTAGGCATCAACTAGGAGCAGATAGTGTTGACAATTGATTGGTCCGGCAAAGTCAACATGAAGTCGTGACCAAGCTGTATCTGGTACTGGCCATGAGCACAAATCCGTTTTACGAGGGGATTTTGTAGACGGTTGGCATTTCGAACAGGTTCGGACAAGTTCTTCCAGCTGCTTATCCATATTCGGCCAATACACGTAACTACGTGCAAAGGCTTTCATGCGATTTATTCTAGGGTGCCCGAACTGAAACTGCTTCCGAACACATTCCTGCAATTTTGTAGGTACTACAGCAGTTCGGCAGAGTATACACCCATCGACCTCGGCCAATGAAGGACGACGGTGGTAGAACGGTTGGACTTGATGAGAAGGGCACGCTGACGACCAGTGAGTGCGATGAAAACGAATAACTTCCTGTAGCTACGGATCATGAGCAGTAGACTCGCGGATCATAGTAGAAATAACTGGTAGTACGCGGACCTAAATAGCAAGCACGGAGCTTATTTCTGGGTCTACGGATATTGGCGCAACAACTGTATCCTCAGGCGGTTGCCGGTGAGATTCCATGAGTCGTGACAAATCATCTGCCTGGCCAGTATCTTCAATCGACTGGTATTTTATGGAAAGATCATACCCAAGTAGCATACTAGCCCC